GTTGCCTCATGTTCGCATGGTCAAGGGTTCGAGTCCTTACTGATTAGGAGTTTTTGCATGCGTATAGTGATCACTTTCGATTATCTGTTAAGCGCACAGTCAACGAGGTAGTGCCCGACAGTGATTGAGAAAGTGGCTCTCCATGGCGTAACGTTTAGGTGTGTTGCCTCATGTTCGCATGGTCAAGGGTTCGAGTCCTTATTGAGTAGGAGTTTTTGCATGCGTATAGTGATCACTTTCGTTTATGGGTTAGGCGCACAGTCAACGAGGTAGTGGTTCTCCATGGCGGAGTGGTTAGGTGTGTTGCCTCATGTTCGCATGGTCAAGGGTTCGAGTCCTTGTTGAGTAGGAGTTTTTGCATGCGTATAGTGATCACTTTCGTTTATGGGTTAGGCGCACAGTCAACGAGGTAGTGGTTCTCCATGGCGGAGTGGTTAGGTGTGTTGCCTCATGTTCGCATGGTCAAGGGTTCGAGTCCTTGTTGAGTAGGAGTTTTTGCATGCGTATAGTGATCACTTTCGTTTATGGGTTAGGCGCACAGTCAACGATTTAAAGGTTCTCCATGGCGGGGTGGTTAGGTGTGTTGTGCACACTTACATACACGTATACGTTCACATTTTTTCTAGCTAAGTCCTTCCCAGACAGCTTCACCCACCAGCGATTTCTGTTCACACACACATGTGCTACATATAAATATGCTTGCTGTAATCATTGCGCACGGCTTCTTCACTACAAAAATATAGAATAACAAGTTAAGTTTTAGAATTTTCTAAGGAACTACGAATCAGACAGCCACGAAACTTTGGCTTTAGATTACCCGTGGCCGACTACCCCTTACTGCTACATTAAATTCTGCCCTGCTCCGTTTTGCGGAGCAGAACAGTCCAACAATCAATTATACGGCGCGTAATCGAGTTGGTCATCAATTGCTTGGTTTAATTTCCCAAGTTTGAGGTACTAATAAGATACGACATGAATGTAGTTAAACAAACAATACGATGACCAGCTCGATTAGGCGCCGTATAATTGATTTTGACTGCTCTGGCTCGACAAAGGGAGGCAGGCGGATTTTAATTGTGCAGTTAAGGGATAGTCGGGTACTGCGGGGTAATGGAATAGCAAAGTTTCGTGGCTGTTTGATATGCGTGGTTCTTTAGTAAGAAAATTCTCAATAATAATCTTGTTATTGTGTATTTTTGTAGTGAAGAAGCCGTGCGCAACGATTAAAGCAAGCATATTAATATGTAGCACATGTATGTGTGTGTGTGAACAGAAATCGCTGGTGGGTGAAGCTGTCTGGGAAGGACTTAGCTAAAAAAATGTGAACGTATACGTGTATGT